TCAAATCTTTTTAGGAAAATAAGTATTTAAGGCTTTTATGATCTGAGAACACCTCAAATTTCTCCCCACACAAGTGATGCCTCCACAATTTAGAGTGAAAATAATTGCAGCTAGCTCTAAATCACGAGTCGAATAATTTCCGTCGTGGGTTTTCAATTGGCGCAAACCATATGCCACTACCTTACCTTTCTGCATCAAAACACATCCCAAAACTTCCCTAGAGGCATCACAGTACAAAGTGTAACCTAGACCTCTTTCTAGAATGACTAGAACTGGTGCAGTGGTTAATCTAGCCTTCAGCTCTAAGAAGGATTTCTCCCATGATTTATTCCAAACAAACTTCACTCCCTTTCTCGTTAGCCTAGTCAACGAAGAAGCTAGCATGGAGAAGTCTTTCACAAATTGTCTATAGTAATCGGTAGGACCCAAGAAACTGTGGATCTCAAATGCGTTCTTGGGTCACTCCCAATTCTATATCTCCTCAATCTTCGAAGAATCTATGGCAACCCCATCCTTAGAAACAATGTGACCCAAGAATTTCACCTCGGAGAGCCAGAACTCACAATTCTCATACTTAGCGTATAATCTGTGCTCCCTAAGTAATTGTGACATAATGCAAAGTTGCACTTCATGTTCTTCCTTGAAGGGTGAATATATAAGAATATCATTCACAAAAACTACCACAAACTTGTCAAGATATTCTCGGAAAATATGATTCATCAAGTCCATATACGTGTTTATGAGACCAGATTATTGTCATGTTGGTAGGTTATTGACGTCTTGTTGGGGGTTGTTGATTTCATATTATTTCTTTTATATAATTATATAATGTGAAGTAAATAAATAAAATTTAAGTAATGAAAATGAATAAATGAACTTGAGAATCAAACATGCCCATTGCATTATATTTTTGACCATTACACCCACAGATTTAATAATGTAGATATACAATTATTGTCAAGTAAGTATCATTACTCACCCCTTGCATTGTGTAGGTACCAATGGACACCCGCTAATGTGAGCGCCATGACAACGTTTATTTTGTTAAGTTTAGACCCTAATTTAATTGAGTTGCATGCCTCTATACCTTTTATTGGATCATTTGTATTAATCTTGGGTCTATAACTTAAATTTTTTCTCTACTATATTATGTGGTATTTCACTTCATAGGGATGCGTGCCCATGAGATTGATTCATATAATTCTGTGTTTCACATGTTTTTTTAAAAAATTAATTATTATTTCTAAAATTAATGAATTGTACATGTTTCCCAGTGGAAGCCAGTTATCGCTGAAACACTTCTTTTATCACTTAAAAGTCTGCTTAAATTTAAGAAAATGAAAACATTGCACTTCTTACGAGGTAAATTAAAGTTTTCAAATTAAAAGAGAATTTTACCTTAAAATATTATTAAAAAAATTATTTTTTATTTTAAAAATTACTTTTTTATTTATTTCTCCTGACTGACTCCCTATTATTTTCTTATTCTATTAACAAATCCCCTATTTTTTTCTCTATTTTTATTCAAATATAATTTTTAATTATAAATTTTAAAAAAATAAAAATCATAAATGTGTACTGCAATTCCTAAACAAAAATAAAAAAAATAAAAAATTTATAAGGAAGCTATAGTGACTTCCTACAAATAGACAGTCACTGTAGCAATTCTTACTTTAGGGAAGTGTTTAACGGCTCTAATGGAAGGATATAGGGAGCCACTAATTCCTTAAAATAGGTAGGGATGGAATTTAGGGATTCTATTAGGGATGCTCTAAGTAAAGTGATTTTGAGAATGAATTAAAGAATAAATGGAATTTTCATTAAAAAAAACTCATGCATAAGTTAATTAATTTCTGCCTAATTAATCTTTGAAAATCAAGGTGTGAGTTTACCATGAGTCATGTTTTGATGATTCAAACCATTCATTTTATAGAGCCCTCAATGTTATATGTCTATGAAAAAAATTAGGCCGATTCGATAATCATAATATTTTCATTTTTATCTTGTTTGTCTTTAAAAAATTGAATGGTTTACTTTCAAAAATATATTTGTTGTCTAATTTTTCGAAGACAAATGCAATAAAATAAAAATGTTATAATTATTAAATCAAACTGATTTTTTTAATAGATGATATACATTGAAAATCTTACAAATTAAACAATTTAGATTGTCGTAACAGGACTTGTGATCAACCCTACGAATCCCTTAAATTCACTCATATTAAAATATGAAAATAAGAGAAGCGTACCTTAGCCAGCCCAATGTTAGAATTTATACCGTAAACAACAACCAAAAACACAACCACACAATAAAGAACTATAACACTAAAGAGCAGTTGAAGAGACTTGAAGAAAATCATAAAGCCCAAAAAACATGTTGAGGCCCAACCAACAATAACAAGCAACACAAACCAAATAACATCCAATAAGAATTTGCAATCTATCCATCCACCAAGAGTTACATAGTAATGCCATACAAACAATTAAACAACAATTATGCTGATTTTTTTATTAATAAGTAAATTATAATTAATTTTATAATTTTGACATAATTTTACTATACTACCTTAAAATATAAAATTTCACAACTGAAACAGCTAGTAATTTAGTAAAATGGATGGATAATGAAGGTTAAATAAAAAGGAATTGGATTGTCTCTAGTCCATAATCGGATTGGATAGTCCATTTTGCCCCAATGGGCCTACTTTTGGGTCTTGTTTGGATAATCTGAACCGTTTACATTTTAAGATTCGTCAAGTACATTTTTCCTGCAAAAAATAAAATCGATCGGATAACAGAAACTACGTGTTCAAAATAATTTTGTATGAACCATTTATTTTCTCGTCGTCTTTTTTTTTTACATACAAAATTGATCCAAACACATAGTTGCCGTTATCCGATCAACTTGATTTTTTATATGGATAATATACTCGATAAACCCTACAATGTGACGGTTTAGATCATCAAAACGAGACCCAAAAGTGAGCCCACAAGACCTAATAGCACCTCTATAGTCCGATGAAGGACTAAAGAGAAGTCATAGCCAAATAAGAAAATAAATTATATAGTTAATAATGCCACCATAAAAAATTAAAGGTTTTTAGGTAAATTTATTAAAAGATTAAATTCATTTTACCCCATTGTGGTTGGGGCCCGATGCACTTTACCTTCCTATAGTTCAAATATAGTTAGAAAGCCCCCATATAGTTTTGGACTAAAGTGCTACCGTTAGTTTTCTATCCAAACTAATGGAAGGTACACACATTATTTTTTAGTGGGTTTGGTTTTCTAAAAAATTAAAGTGAAATTAATACAACAAAAAGACAATCTTACCCCATTCCAAACTTAAAATTAGATTAATATGTTAATTAAAATTAAATAAATTAAAATATTATTAAGAATTGATATAAAATATAAAATATAATTAAGATTAATTTAAAATATAAAATCAATAATAATTAAAATATATAACGATTCCGGTTTAGACTCAACCCATTTAATACTCTTAGATCCGGGATTTCGTACTTTTAATTGTTGTTCATATCATTTGTCGTCTTGTTAGTAATCGAGTTGTGTATTAGTCATGTTTGAAACAAGTTTGGAGTTAATTTTTCAAAAGAGTTGCTATTTTGTTTTCTGCTTATTCGCTCGAGCGATGTTTTGGTCGCTTGAGCGGTCTTTGAGATCTCCCAGTATTTTGTAGGTCTGCAAAAGTTCTAGTAGTAGGATATCTTCGCTCAAGCGATATTTCTTGCGCTCGAGCAGTCTTCTTCAATTTGCAAAACTTCTAGGAAATGGGTCATTGTGTGCTTGAGTGGTGTTTTGGTCGCTCGAGCGGTCTGCGCATATATCAGTTTGGAAAAAAATGGTTTTTTAATCACTTTTTCATTTCCTCTCTCTCTAAAACCTTTCAAACCCTAATTTCTTCACTCTCTTTCTCTCTAGTTATTGCCTTAAAACCTCAAATACACCCTCACCCATTGATTTCTCCATCTTAGTTCTTTGGAAAAAAATGTAGAGCTCCTCAAAGTTTCATTATAATCAGAGGAAATCTTGTTTCACTACAAGAAATGATACTTTTGGCTACTAAAATATTGGTCACTAAAAGTCCGATATTTGGTCGCTGAACCGATTTAGCGACTAAAAAGTTTTGTCGCCAAGTTCGTCGCCTATACCCTGTCGGCGATTGTTTTAGCGACTAAACGTGTGTTTAGTCACTGAAAGTGAATGATTTGGCTACTAAATTATTAGTCGCCAAACGTCAACGTTTGGCTACTAAAGTTGGGTTAGTTGGCAAAAGTGATATTTTTGGCAACCAAAATATTAGTCACCAAAAGTTATAACAAAACTAATTTGAACTATTTAGAGACTAAAGTTTTAGCCGCCAATTGAATACATACCAACTGTATTTAGTCGCCAATTGAACTATTTGCCGACCATGGAATTTAGTCGCCAAAGGATGCCAACTTTTATTCATTTTGCTACTACATTATTAGTGGCCAAAACATTTGAAAATAGTTTTTGGCTACCAAAATAGTTAGTAGCCAAATACTATATTACAAATAATTTTTTTTTTTTTTTAAGAAATTCTAAACCACCTGTATCCATTATTAATACAACTTATACAATGTATAAACAATAAAATCCATCAATACTAAATATATATTATCAGTCATTCGACAACGTACACGCAAAAAATTCCATTCGACATCCAATTCCATTCCATTCCATTTGACATATGTAATACAAATTCCATACGACCCAAGTACATTCCAACCTCAATAATTTCAAAATATACATAATAGAGGAAATCAGTGCCATACCAAAAAACTAATATTGAAATCTGTACAACCTGTATCCATTATTAGTACAACCTGTACCCTGTATAAACAATATAATCCATCAACGCTAATATATTATCAACCATTCAACAACGTGCACACATTTCACTTCCAACCATTCAACAACGTGCACACATTTCACTTCCAACCATCCAAAAAATTAATATTGAACGTCCAATTCTATATATAATACAAATTCCATACGAACCAAGTCTAATCCAACGTCAATAATTTAATTCCATACATAATACAGGAATAACCAAATTAATTAACAAAAAGGACATATGTATCACAACAAAAATTTAATCTGTACTGCCCCAAAACTATTTTGTACCACGTGCTATGCTAATTCCTACCATGCCAAATTAGCTGATATTTACCACACCAAAAAAGTAATTTGTACGAACCACTATATATACGAATAGAGGTATAAAAACAATGCCCTCCCATACTTGTCAAAAAAAAATCATATCCACATTTGAGTGTCCAAAACCAACTGCAAAAAAATAAATAAATAAATAAATAAATGAAAATAAAAATAAAAATAAAAATAAAAAATTTATTAGTTTGGTGCCTATAGAGACACTTCTGGACGACATATAGCAACTATATTAATTTCAAACATTCAAAGACAAGGAGAGTAATAGCTATTAAATAATGAAAGACACCCAAACATGGACTGGTAAACGAGCATCGATTCTATGAATTAATGCCAAAAGTTATGTTTATGGCAATTAAAAGGGCCATAGTCAACAAAAACACTAAACAATTTACCAAAAATATTGCTCAACATAAACTAATAAGGAAAGAGTTAAACAAAGTATAGTTTTTTAAGATGGTATAACCAAAATAGTTACCCACGACATGGGCATTTCATGTTTTACCACATAAACACATTGTTGCCCTCCAAACGCTTTTTTCGACTATTTTTATGACATTTTCAACTCTAACTCCCAACATAGGTGTCATATTTACGTACCGTCTATCCCTACATGTCACTTTTGGCACCGAGAAGCTTCCTGTTACGTAAAAACAGTGGTTCGGGGGCTGTTTTGCATTTTCGCCCCTCCAACGCCTTTTTCCAACTAAATTTATGACATTTTCAACTCTAACTCCCAACGTATGTGTCCTATTTACGTACCGTCTATCCCTACATGTCGCATTTGTCACCGGGAATCTTCCCGTTATGTAAAAACAGTGGTTCGGGAGCTGTTTTCCATTTTCGCCCCCTGAACCCCTTTTTTCGACTAAATTAATGACATTTTCAACTCTAACTCCGAACATATGTGTCTTATTTACGTACCGTCTGCCCTGACATGTCACATTTGGCACCAGGAAGCTTCCCGTTACATAAAAACAGTGGTTCGGGGGCTGTTTTGCATTTTCCCCCCCGAACGTCTTTTCTCAACTAAATTAGTATTACATTTTCAACTCTAATTCCCAACGTATGTGTCCTATTTACGTACCGTCTATCGCTACATATCATATTTGTCATCGGGAAGCTTTCCATTACGTAAAAAAAGTGGTTTGAGGGGCTGTTTTGCATTTTCACCCCCGGAACTCCTTTTTTCAACTAAATTAATAACATTTTCAACTCTAACTCACAACGTATGTGTCCTATGTACGTATTATCTGCCCCTACATGTCACATTTGGCATCGGGAAGCTTCCCATTATGTAAAAACAATGGTTCGGGGGCTGTTTTGCCATTCCCCCCCCGAACGTCTTTTCTCGACTAAATTAGTATTACATTTTCAACTCTAACTCCCAACGTATGTGTCCTATTTACGTACCGTCTGTCCCTACATGTCACATTTGTCACCGGGAAGCTTTCCGTTACGTAAAAAAAGTGATTCGGGGGCTATTTTGCATTTTCGTCCCCTGAACTCATTTTTTCGACTAAATTAATGACATTTTCAACTCTAACTCACAACGTATGTGTCCTATTTATGTACCGTCTGTCCCTACATGTCACATTTGTCACCGGGAAGCTTCCCGTTACGTTAAAACAATGGTTCAGGGGCTGTTTTGCATTTTCGCCCCCCGAACCCCCTTTTTTTGACTAAATTAATGACATTTTCAACTCTAACGATCAACGTATGTGTCCTATTTATGTACCGTCTGTCCCTACATATCGCATTTGTCACCGGGAAGCTTCTTGTTATGTTAAAACAGTGGTTCGGGGGCTGTTTTGCATTTTCGCCCCCTCGAACCCCTTTTTTCGACTAAATTAATGACATTTTCAACTCTAACGATCAACGTTTGTATCCTATTTACGTACCATCTGTCCCTACATGTCGCATTTGTCACCGGGAAGCTTCCCATTACATTAAAACAGTGGTTCGGGGGTTGTTTTCCATTTTCGCCCCCCGAACCCCTTTTTCGACTAAATTAATGATATTTTTAACTCTAACTCCCAACGTAAGTGTCCTATTTACGTATCATCTGTCCCTACATGTCACATGTGTCATCAGGAAGCTTCCCGTTATTTTAAAATAGTGGTTTGGGGGGCTGTTTTGCATTTTCACCCCCCGAACCCTTTTTCCGACTACTTTTATGGCATTATCAACATAATTTTGCTAATCTTGGATGTGGTCCCTATTCTTGGGAGTTAGTCTGCCTCACAAATTCAATGGACAAGATTAAAAAAATAGAACAAACGAAGCAATTAGATGAAATCCACCACTGCCACTGCTTGCAGCCCCTTCGTAGCCCAAGTACACCAAGACAAAGACACCTACTATTTCCCGACACTCGAAGGAACCAAAAAAATATGCCAACCATAAGACAAAGCCAATCACGATTTTGAAAGCATCATGCATTAGTGCATATTTCAATTATCAAACAACTTATAAGTGAAATGACATGGATTCACAAACCACATTTAAAACATGCTTGGAAAAAACAATGTGACAGTGACAGTGACAGCCAATTCCTAAGCAACAAAAATTGCGGTCCTTTGGCAAGCTAGTGTCCTTTTTGGCACAAAACTAAGCAGTCGCCTTGTGCAAAACAGAGAATTAATAATAATTTGTTGTTTAGAAGTGAAGGACTTCCCATTGGGACAAGCAGCACAAATATCACAACCCAGAACTCATTTTATCCCCTCAATTCCAGCCAAACATTAAACAAACCCACCAGAAATGCTTTCATTTTGCTTTTTCTAGGAAAAACTCAACAGCAATATTAATTAAGTTCTAAAAACATAGCTACAAGAAGTAGTTATATTGTCAAAGATACATGATAAAATAGGTGCAGAAATCTTAAAACCAGAATTAAAGAAAAATAATAGCTAGTGTCTTATTTTTATTTGTATGTCAATCTTCCAATGGAAAATGCTGCCTATGGGACATTTATAATTAGAAAGGATCTATGCACCTTATCACTTTATTAATTATATCATGCATAAGGCTGTAATATAAGCATACATCTTGATGAGAATATTATGAACATCAGTGACGATTCACAACAGTAAAATTGAGACAACCCATTTTGCCACAAACTAAAGCAAACAAATGTTACCAATAATTAAATATAAATTACACTAATTTTCTGAATCAGACTTAAATTTCCTTTTTCCTGAATTGTAATCCCAGAGTAAAACTTTCTAGTTCCCTAACCCTAGAAGTCAAAGATTTACCGTATCTTCTGAACTAAATAATGGGATCATGCCCTGGAATACAAATTCAGAAAACATCAACAGCCTGAAACATCAAACCATATTGAAGAATATATTGTACATGTGAATTCAGAAGATGCAGTTTATTCATGATATGCTGCTATTGATCCAACATACTGATCATGTTTCCATCACACATTTGTTCATGTTTACACATTGCAGTCCCTCTATTGTAATGTTTCATTATTCCATACCAGCAAGTGTTAACACAACAGAGAAGAATAAATTAATCTTTTCAGTATGTAAATGTAAAAATAAATTGATAAAATGTACAAACGATCCTGACCCCCAATGAACAATTGATTGCAATACACAGAACAAAGTCAATACCTCTTTCTTCTTCAAGTCTGCCAAGCATGACTCAACCAGTCCATGGAAACTTGTATACCCACAGATTAAAACAGAACCCCTTGGGCCCATTCCATGTGCTAGGGCTGCCTAAAATAGGAGAGCCAAAACAACTTAGGCAAATGTCTAAAAAATAGTTATTACAAAAAAGTAAATAAAATGTTGTTGACCATTAATGATTAAACCCACCTTTGCAGCATCTTTTGAAATTGTAGGATGTGAACTCAAGCCGAAGTAATTGTTGCTCAGAAAATAAAAGTAGCTTTCTAAACTTTTGAGGGCAGGCCCCTGTTTCAGCTTCTTGGTTGCCACAGTCAGCATCATCTCCTACAACCATACAAAAGATCAAAGGGGTCATACTAATATAACAGCTCATTGGGCTATCAATAAGAGAGGAAAATGCCCAAAATAAATACACATTTCAATGCACTTCATACATATTAGAATTTTCCAAGATAAATACCATAACCTTCAACCAATAGGATGTTTTATCATTCTACTTTTTATTTTAATTTATTTTTTAGATAGGAGGGTAATAGGGGAACCCTCACTTTACCATAACCTTCCAAAATAAATACTAATTTATTTTTTATTTCAATTTATTTTAATTTATTTATCATTCCAAGATAAATACCATAACCTTCAAACAATAGGATATTCTTCATGTGACATTGACTAATAAAATCATCTGAAATGTCAAAAATTAGTTCTCAAATCCTTGATTTCCTCTATAAGACAAGAACCCCCAGTTTCCACTTCTTCTTCTTGCAGTCACTCCACAATACTCACCAATGCTAGTCAGTATGATTCTCACTTTATCTATTCTGTTTTCTTATAACTTCAATAGAATTTGACATGTTTTCTTTGTTCTCAATTATTTTATTTTTTAAAAACAAAAGGAGAAAAGTAAAAAAAACTTGTTCAAGGATCTTAATAATTGTTCAAACAAATAATGTTTTGGTGCATTTTGCAGTGTTTCTGTGAGCGTTCATTATGTTTCAATAGAAACATTGTAATTTCAACTTTCCATCAATGTTTCAATGGTAATGAAATGAAACTTTCCTTGGTCAATATAACCAGCATATCTTAAACCCCAATTTTTAACATGTTTTTTTTTAAAAAAAAAAAATTGGTTTTAAACATGTTAAATTAATTGATTCCCAATCACAATCATCCTTTACCCTTTACTTTCACTAAATTGAATCTACTTTTAGTAATTGGAAGCAAATAAATTCCATTATCAACATACATGAAAATTTTAAAAAAATAAAAATAAAAATCAAATCATATACACAATTGACTCGTATACAAACACGAATCATGAATAAATGGAGTGTTTGGCGAAGTAGAAATTACCTGACAAGCAAGAGAAAGGGCATGGTATTGCATTCGAGGACTGTAGCCAAAATCGCCGAGAACCACCACCGCCACCCTATTCCTCCGCCCAATCTTTGCCTCTTTTTGCCCTAAAATCATCAAATTGTTGTTACATGAACTAGTCATACACTAAATTTTTGTATTTTTAGAATCACAATTGCGAAGAAATCTCAGCTCGATCGCTTTCTCTCTCAACGATAATAGTGCTCCCAACAACAGTATACATTTTGTGAAGTATAATGAAATTAATGACCACCTATTAAGCGGTCAATAACCATTTTCATAATGTTAGATTTTTAAAATAAATGAAGGGTCATGTTTGTTAAATAAATAACCATCAAGGGTAATGTTAGATCTTTAACCATTATCATTGGAGTCATCGCTGCCCATTGAATTTGTTAAATAAATTGGTAAGGTAAGGTCATGTTTTGCATAATTTGTTAAAAAAAAAATCTGCTAGTGAAACATATATATATATAGAGAGAGAGTGAGAGCGTAAGTGAGACAGAGCATCAATGGAGTCTCTTCTCAGCGATGAAGCCTCTAGATCTCGCGGCGGTGGCGGTGGATCTGCGAAGATCGACGGAGGAGAGAGAGGCGGCGGCGTAAAAAGAGGGCAGCGACGGAGGTGGTAGTGGCGACAGTGGTGATCGCAACAGTCACGATGGCGATGGCAGCGGAGGAGGAGGAGGTGCTCCGGTTGCCGGCGAACATGAGGAGGAGCGGCGGCGGGATGACGACGCAACGGGACTCCTTCGCCGCCTTCATCTTCTCTTCTTCTCTTCACCTACCCTAATATTTTATGTCCATCCGTTGGTTCTTCAAGTGATCGATCTTAGCCATTCATTTTACATCCTTGTTTAACTTATTTTCCCCGACTAAAATATAGCTTTGTCGTAATTAAGGAGCCGCCAAAAACTCAAAATCTTTCTTTGAAAATTTTAATTACAATTGGCGACTAAACATTTTAGTCGGAAAAAGTCAGCTAAAGGCGACTGAAATGCATATTTATCGTTGAAAGTATCTTTTTGGCGACCAAAACTTTAGTCGCCAAAGAGAAAAAATAATTTTTTATTTTCCATTCGGCGACTAAATATTTTAGTAGCCAAAAGTCAATATACAGCGACGAAAGTAATTTTTTGTCGCTAAAAGTAAGTTCTTGGCGACTAAAACTTTAGTCGCTAAAGAGAAAAAATAACTTTTTTATTTTCCATTCGGCGACTAAATATTTTAGTAGCCAAAAATCAATATACGGCGACTAAATTTTTTTTTGTCACTGAAAGTAAAGAAAAAATCATTTTTTTATTTTTCATTTGGCGACTAAATATTTTAGTAGCCAAAAGTCAATATACAGCGACTAATTTTTTTTTTGTTGCCAATTTTGGCATTTTTAGCGACTAAATTTTTTTTAGTCGCCAATAATGAATATACCTTGACTTAAAAAAATAAGTAGCTAAATATTTTACTTTTGGCGACTAAAAAAAATGTTAGTCGCCAATTTCATAACTTTTGGCGACTAAATTTTTTTTGTCGCCAAAGGTGCGTTTTGTTGTAGTTTTTTTGTCCCATCAAGCTTCAACCCTTATTTTATTCATCTTCTAGACTTGATGTAGAGGTTTCTTTAACTTTCTAGTATGATTCTTAACTTAGTTATGTGTTCCTTATTAAGTATTGAGATTTGGGAAAAATAAGATTTTGATTTAGGGTTTTGATTTTAGAAAATAAAATTGGGGTTTTCAAATGGATCCTTAAGAAAGGTTGTGGGGTTGTGTTTATTGTTGAGATATGTTATAAGGTTGGAATTCTCTTCTTTAAAAGTGTTTTTGGAAGAAAAAGGTGTGTCATTTGAAAATCATAAATGTTTAATTTATGAAACCAAAAAAAAAGTTGTTGGGTTTTTGAAATGATGAAATGAATGTATATGTTCATAATAAGGGTGGAGTTGGATATATGTATTACTCCCATTTTGAAGAATTATAATATTATAATTGTTGTTGAAAAATTATTTGTTTTGAGCTATCGATAAATGATAGTTTTGATTGTTGTAGAAATTGTATGAGGATTAGGTTAATTGAAACCAATTACTCATATATCTTGCATTGAGCATTGTTTCATACTTAATCATTAAAACTGTATTGTTTTGAGAAAAGGTGGTGTATATCTTGGTAAATCTGGTTATGGGGTATGGTTGTGGTTATTATATTGGCATGTGTGTCCTTGGTGAAAGTCCATAAACCTACACGGTTAGGTGCTGATCCTTCTGGTTACTACCGGTAAAATAGTTTTAGTAGTGCTTGTATAGCCTACTAGCAAACACGTACCTAGAGATTCTCAGTATTTTGTGTCCACTACCCTATTTTCTAATTAGAAAAGTATTATTTATTGAATTGAATCACATACTGTTAAGACATGGCATTGTTTTGGAAAAGGAAACATGATGTTTTGAAAAAATAGCATGCCATTACATTGCATTCATCATATGATTTTGTTAAACTTCATACCTTGTGTTTGAATATCTCTACTAAGTTTTAGCTCACTCTACGTGAAAAATAACTTTCAGTTGCTGATGATATACCTCCGCCAAGGATATAGCTTGGGAAGACTAGGAGCCAAGAGTTTATTTTGTTTTTCTTTGATGTAATTATTTTTATACAAGCCATGGGTTTTAACTATATCGAGTTGATCTCACTTTTGTTGTACCCAAGCATTGACTTGGAAATATGTAGCCATTAGGGCATAAGCTTATCAGTATCTCTTTTTTTTCCGAATCATGTACACATATCATATGCTATAGATTTAAGATCTAACATTTATGAATATATACACGCATATGTCATCTTTCGTATGATCAAGAAGTATCAATAAAATGTTAAATATAACGCTAGTGGCACATTCTACGGTATATTATGATGCTGGTTGTTATTATTATTTAGGGGCGTTATAAAATATAATTAAATTAAAATTAGGTTAACATGTTAGGAGTTATTACAAATAATTAAGAATTTAGGATTAATTGTGATCTAAAATATTAAATTAAATTTAGATTAAAAAGTTAGTAATTATAATAAATAATTAGATATTTAGGATTAATTGTGATATAAAATATAATTAAATTAGAATTAGAATAAAAAAAATTAAGAATTACAATAAATAATTAAGAATTTATAATTTATAATTTATAATTAATTGTGATTTAATTAAATTAATGTTAGATATTATAAATTATGTGTATTAGAACGGAGAGAGAAAGAAAATAATAATAAAAAATATATAAGATTTGAGAGTATTATAGTCATTTGATATTTATAGTTAATGGTGTTAACGGTTACACTTTAATCTAAAATCATATGCGAGCTTTCTAACTATATTTAAACAATAAAGAGGGTAAAGTATTTTAATTTCAAATCACAATAGGGTAAAATGAGTTTAACCTTTTATTAAATAATTAATATGTTTAAAAGTGTATAGTAATTATTTACTTTTTTAGTATTAGCGCCTTTTAGGCCATGTTTGTTTGGGTGGACATGAGCTTGGGATTGGACTAATAGTCCAATAAAATTATTAATCCGATGTTTGGTTAAACAATTGAAGTACGGACTAATTATTTTAAACTTGACTATTAGTTAAGATAGGATACATAATCCAACGGATTCGTAGTCCTAGGACTATTAATCATGGGAATGCTAATCCAGTCCGCCCAAACAAACATGGCCTTATTGTATTAAATTCATTAGCTAACTGATGAATATTTAAAAATATATAAATACATATATTTGTACACTAACAATGATAGAAACTATTAATTTTAGATTTTTAAAAAGACCACTAATGACATGACACTCAATAAAAAAAAATACAACACTAAAATCAAAACATAAAATCATTCCTAATAGAACCCACTGCCACATTATTAATAATAACACTAATTAGTCCTCTTACCCATATTCCATTTCTCCACGGTATACATTATAGTGAACAATTATGAAAATTTTGGTACACAGTCGATTGCCTAGACTATTTTGTGGTGAGAGTCTAAATTTTGATATACCTGAAAGATAAGAGGAGTAAGATGGTGAGGAAAGCAAGAGAAGAGACGAGAGTAGCGAGCACCGCCGTTCAGGAGATCTAGGCGGCGGAGATAGAGATCTGGCCGGTGCAAATCCAAGAGTGGAAATGTTAACTTCGTTGCATTCTTCGTCGTCCTCAGCTCTCTCGATCGTCTGGCGGCGCTTCACCGTCCACGGCCAGATCGCTCTGCCATCGTCATTGCTCCGAAGCCCTCCTGTGTCATACCAGGTCCCCAATAGCCGGTGATTTTCTTGCAGAGGAACACCGCTGAGAGCTGTCGTACATTGGGGGTCTTAGCGGCGCGGATGTGGTGGACTAGGGCTGAAATCACCTGCGGATCCTTGGAAAGGTGCTTAATCTGGTCCTCTGTTTGCCTCCGAGTATCGTTGTCAGGCATCAAGAACTGAATCAATAGCAACTCCAGAGACTGCGCCATACTTTCTATCTTCTCTTCTCTTCTCTTCTCTTCTCCTCTCTCTCTCTCTCTCTCTTCTCATCTTTGTGTATTGAATTCTGATTTTGGAATTGGAATTTACAGGTAATTTGTACAACCAAGATCTGTGGGAGCCAACAATGGAGCCAAGATTTGCAAGTGAGATGATAACTTTGGTGGATCTGCTCGCACTACAAGAATTTTTACTTTTGGCGGTTAAATTTTTAGTCGTCAAAGGTCGGTTTTTAGTTGCCTATAGTCGTTAGCGACTAAATTTTTTGATCGAAAAATTAGTAGCCGAAGAGAGTAGTCGGGAAAGCTAATTGGCGACTAAACTTAATTTAACCGCCAAATGTATTCATTTGCCAACTAAATATTTAGTCGCCAATAGGTTAGAAAATTAATTAAATAATACATTTTTGCGGACCATTTTTTTTGTCGCCAAAAGCCAATTACTTAGTCGCTGAAAAATTTTTAGTAACTAAATTTTTTAGTCGCCTAAAGTCAATCTTTTTTGGCTACTAAAATTTTAGTCGGCAAATATTATTTCTTTTGGCTACTAAAAATTTAGTTGCCTAAACTTTCACATTTTTTGCTACTAAAAATTTAGTCGCCTAAACTCGCACATTTTTTGCTACTAAATTTTTAGTCGCCAAAGGTATTTTTATTCTTCCACTTTTGTTTTTAGCTACAAAATATTTTAGTCACCAAATGTTTGATTTTCTTTTGGCTACAAAACTTTTAGTAGCCAAAGGTTTGATTTTCTTTTGGGTACAAAACATTTAGTAGTCAAATGGTTGTTTTTCTTTTGCCTACAAAAAATTTAGTAGCCAAATGTTTGATTTTCTTTTGGTTACAAAACTTTTAGTAGTCAAATGTTTGTTTGTTTGTTTTTTTTTTTTTTTCCCTTTTTATTGGCTACAAAACGTTTAGTCGGCAAAAACATGATATTATGTTTTATTGCAAATATTATAATTTGTCCATAACGTGTCTGTATTCCATGCAACCCGTAATACGTATATAAAAAAAATGATACATAAACTATCAATCATTCCACAATCTGCATCCGTATACAAAAAATAAATTATTTTAACTGTCCAAGTATATACAAACCAACTATTGTCCAAACTAAAATAATAATTTCATACAACATAGAGAATCATACAAAAAGTAAAGCCCTCCATATACAAAAATTACATTTACTATACCATGTGAAATTACCATTTGACATGGTACAAATTATCACCGT